GGTAGCGCTCCTACTGGGTCCTTTTCATCCCCCACATGAATAATTTATACCGCTGGTATTTCAAGTGTTTGAATACCTTGGGTGAATTGCCTGGCTATAAAAATGCCATTGCTCCACTGTTACGCAACCATTTATTTTGGCTGTAATTATTGGCATATACGTTGTCATGTGGTCAGTATGGACGAGAAAAGACTCTATAATGTTATTATATAGTACTAAGAAAAACAATGAGTAAACGTTTTTCTTTTGCTAACTTTCAACATTTTTTCAGTCCACCATTGTTCCTATTAAAAGGTTAAACACCTTCAGACTCCATATTTTAGGGGGCTTTTGAATACTAGTAGTTGTATATAGGGTTGGGGTATTTTTGCTCAGGGATGTTTGCTCTTGTATTATTATATTATATATTGCGTTTAACTTAGTAGGTAAGTATTTGGATCCTCAAGTACAGTCAATTCGAAGGGGACAGATATCCCTTCACCCATATCTACAGCAGATAATGCTGAAAGGATGGGTAAGTGCCAAATATATGGCAGCGATTATAACGTCCTCGGAGCCACCTGGTACTTTGGCAGGCCTAAGCAATGTCAACCTGGAGATTTCATCAGTATTGGAAAACTTATCGTTGATGAGCTTACATTGTCACATTGGTCATGAAATTATTACCTTCGCCAGGAAGGTTACTAGTATGTTTTCAGTAGCGTTTGTCTGTGTGTGGGTGTGTTTGTGTGTGTGTGTGTGGTTTAGCAAGATAACTCGAGAAGCAGTGGATGGATTGGAATGAAACTTGGTAGGTGGGTAGGTCTTCATGAGACCTAGAAATGATTAGATTTTGGGCCCCCTGACGGCTTTCCTAGGTACTGCAGCAGAACTTCCGGTTTTGATATCTCGTGATCTAGACATGCTAGGGTCACGAATTTTGGATGGCAGATAGCTCTTAGGATAGGGAAGAAGTGACATGAGTTTGGGTCCCCTAGCGGCTTGTTCTGGAACTGCAGGAGCATTTGTTGAAAAAAATTCGAAGGAGGATAATTCAAGAACCGGTTGACGGATTGTCGTGATTTTTGGTATGTAGGTAGTTGAAATGATGCTTGACATGATCAGATGACAATTATGCAAATCAGGAGCTAATTTGCATAATTAATGAGGAAACTCTATAAATCTGCTTTGTTCGATAATAGAACTATGAAACACTTGTGACATCACTTGTGAGAACGAGAAAAAACATCTGAGGATATAGATTAAGTAAATGAGGACCTAATTTGCATAATAAATGGCAAATTTTTATAATTTCATGGTTGTAACTGCTGGGAATTTCATACTTGCCACATTTGGAAGTTAAGTGAAGGTGAACATCAACAAACATAATTTATTCAAATCATGGCCTAATTTGCATAATTTATGAGGAAGTGCTATAATTGCATTTTTGTTAAGATAAGGCCGTCATTGGGTGGAGAATATGATCAACTGATATAATCCATGCAAATGGGGCTCTTATTTACAAAATCAAGTATGAAAATTGTATAATTTGTCAACCACAAGGGTTAACATCATTTGGCGAAGGTATGAGATCGTGGAACTCTTGTTTTGCAGTGCAGGAATTAACGTCACTTTTAGCATACTGGGCTTGGATAGTACTCCCGACCATTATCTTTGATATACAAAATCCATAAACAAAGCTAGTCTTATTGGAGTTGTTAAAAGAAACATTATAAATAGTTCAGATACACAACAGATCAAATTATCATAACAGGTTTACACAGTCATACAACTAGCTGCTGCCAGAATTTGCTTTGGAATGCAGATTTTACATGCTAATGCTTAAATCCCAGCTCTAGAAAGAATGAAATTTGGTATCGTTCTTGACACTGTGTTATATGCCTTTGGAACATGGTGTAATTTTGTCTGAGCCCAGGTGCATGAATAAGTCAGAACTTTTCCTCCCAAGTGGCAGAGGTTGTCAGAGCAATAGTCGTGATATCTTCATGTGACTTTAAAGGTAATAATCAGTGTCAGAAATGTCTGCGGCCCTATCCATCAGCATTTCAGATGGGCAGTTCGTCAACTTGACAGTGGGAATTCAACATTTGTCATCGTTGAAGTTTCATATAGAAATTTCTGCAGAATCTAGCCAAACACTGCTTGTTATAAAAGTACTACAGTATATGTTCAATTTAAGAATTCAATATGCAAAATTTAAGAGTATAGCTACAATTTATAATTATTCTTCATCATTTCTATGTCATGTATCCTCTTACAACAGGATGGTGGTTATTACTTGACTTGTCTGAACATTTTTCTGCTTTGCCTGATACGTATTAGATACTGCATGACTTTGTTGTCTGTATTAATATCTGTAGAGCCAATAACTGCCCATAGGGGTAACACATCACACAGCTCTGCTTCTGTTGTTGACAACCCTCAGAAGCTGTATCTAACCTGTCTAACCCCTGAAAGGTATTATATGACTCTGAAATCCTAACAAACTGTCCCTCAGGTTTCTTTCCAAGTGCTGTACTATTGTACACCTTGTTTGGATGGTCCAATGTTTGTTTACTCATACTAGGGTTGCCAAGGCTGCGTCACAACTTCCCTGTATTTTTGGCTTTTATTCTTGCAATGTAAACTGAGCAAATCCCTATTTAAGTACCATTAAGTACATTTATATCTAAGTAAGTATCTTTTTGAAACAAACAGAGCTTGTAGATATGTGGTAACCAACAGCAAAATTCTGACAGGACTTCCTTATATACGCTTTTGAGGGTTGAAAAAGTGACTGACCATCAAATGCATATGAGGTACTCTGAAGGAATGCTAATTGCAAAGGGTACCTACCTGTCTAACTTGAAAATGCTATCAAATCCTTGACACACCCGAGGGCATCCTATCACAGGACGTAGTTAAAAAGGAATGCATATTTCATACCATGCACCCATTTACATTATGTTCTCACCATTAGGCTTAATGATGCAACTCTCGGCAGTTCAAAAATATTTGTAATATAGATAATACGCATGTCCATTTGTAAAATCAGGCTAATTCTAGAATATCTTGAAGTAGAACCATTCATAATTACAAACCATAAGGCCGCAGTATGCATTATTTTCACAGTCACCTCCACCAAGGAGCTTTAAGAGGATTCCTAAGCTTCTTGCCTTCACATATCTTGGATGGAGCACGTCGCTCTGTTAGAAGAAAATTTTAGGTTACATGACGTTACCCATGATCTACAGCTCGGGCCTGCCCAATTACATGTGCAGCATCTTATCGATAACCTGAAACTGTCACTAGCACGGCCTTCTGTATCAGATAACCTACTTTGAAAACATACCTGGGGATGGCCGCAGCACCAAGGCCAAGTCCAACACAAGCAGAGCTCTCCTGTCGACTGCCAGGGTTTACTGCACACACACACACACACACCAGGGCAGGGAGGATTGTCCCAATTGGCTGGCATGTAACCAACCAGAGGCCGAACTTTGGCCATCTAAATTAATGATTGCCATCTATCTTCACCATTCAGTGCCTTCCCAATTCATCCCCTCACGTTATCACCTGTTAAGGCTGTGGAAGTATTCAGGACGCGTTTTCAGACGGGATGCAAATGTCCTGTCAATGACACAAGTGTTTGGAGTTGTGTCTGTCCTTCGAAATGATATAAAGTTTGACCTTGAGATATTGTAAAGGACAACCATTACCTGGTCGTGCTGACAATGGCACGGGGCCTAATGTCGCCTGACCTGGGATGTTTGCCAGCAATCCCTTTGTAAACTGTTCCTTCCGTATTGTGCATCCCAGGGCATTAACACAAGCGCCTGACTTTGTTTAACAAATGTCCCCATTCCTTTTTACGTAGTACAAAATTAATGTACATAATACAGAGGTTTTGTTTTCGGTGTTTCTATTTTCATGTTAGCTTGTGTTTCCATTGATAGTTATGGAGCGGCTATTGGACCCGGTGGAAAATGTACAGTCATGTATTATGATATACAGAATCAGTAACTTATACATAGTAGTTCACTTTAGTCTGTATAGTTCTAGTAAGATATGACTGTAATTTTTACTTCTGCTTGATCCCCATGACCTGTACTTACATGTAAGTTTACTAGGTTGTAAGAGCATAAATGTACAATAATGGTAAAAAAGAAGGAATGCACAATAGTAGATAAAATAAGACATTTACAAAAACTCACAGAGTTATGACATCTTTGATTTCTCGTTGCTGTCGTTGTACCCTTCCCAATGGCACAGTTGTTAAATATCACACTTGCTTCTCACCACGTCTGCTTGGAGCTAGCAGAATGTCTCAGTGATTTCCCTGCTGGCCCCTGGCCTGTATGTGATAATAGCACAACAGGGGCGGGACAGACAGCCAGACAGCTAATTACACGGGTGATCAATGGCATAGAAGCTGATCAATGGAGAGGGATGGGGGAAGGTGAGCAATGGTTCTGATTGGTCAATCAGTTAAAAACACAGGCAAGTTGATTATGATCGATGTTGGTCTAAGGATGGTTAGGTGTCAGATGTTCCTTGGTACATGTACATGTACTAGTATTTGTTACTGAAAATCTGGACATCTTGAAAAACCTTTGACTCATTGCTGACATCACACTTTGCTTACTTATAGGCTTCAGGCCAGTTCAACATGAGACGGGTCAGAGCTCTGCAGCTGAACAAAAGCTTCTTGATGAGTAGCGTACTTTTGTGTATGGTAATAGTATTTTAAATTTGCATCATTATGAATCTTAGCATGTTTGCAGTGGGTTTAGTTCCATGTTTTTTGTGGTGACCTTCCAACACAAATTCATGACACTGATAATATGTGTTTCCAGTGCATTACTACTAATACTAGTATGCTTCACCCCAGTTGAGACTGACTGCTTTATCACAGTACCCTTTTTAGACCATCTCTCTTAAATAATGAAACTTCTTCCAGGCATGCTACTAAGATGTATACAGTGTGTCTGATAAAATACATGTAATACACATGTATAGACAATATAATACTCATTAATGGAGAAGGAGACTGACCTTTCATACTCAGGTAATTGCATTTTAATGTGTACCTCACATAACAACACATTTCATCTGGTAGACTTGGCAGCTAGAACATGTCAAAATATGACAGTTGATCGACTAGACATTACCTTCAAGTCACTCCCTCTTTTTCTACAAAGAAGCAATAGCAATATGAAAGATATGCTGGGTATGATCTACACCAAAGAAATACAACACCCCCAATCTACTTAATGTCTACAAACTTCCACTAACTTTGTCCTCTTGCCAACATACAGCAGTACCATTGTATGAAATCTTAAAGTCAAAGTTGAATGAAAGTATGTACATTTTATGTGTAGAATATTCTGTATACATTGTGTATTAACATATCTGTATATATACCAAGTCATCACCAAAATTTTTGAAGTTGCCTACATTGGAGTGATCATTATTGTAGCTTGTTGAACTACAGTAAGTCAGCTGTTGTACATGTACGTTTGTAGCTAAATGAGCCACAGAGATGTACAAGATAACAAAGTTTTACAAGACATTTTAAGACACTTTTTACTGCATTGCACAGAAGGCTCTAGACATTTACTAGTAAAGCAGCAACACTAGACACCCCTCACACATGTCATGTTGTTCTATTCTACCTTATCACAGTATATTTACAAAGTGTGATTGCCAGACTAATAACAATATTTTCTTGTTTAATTCATACAAAACAGTACTTTCATGTCAAATTGAAAATGACTACACAAATGAAAAGAAAATGTAACAGATATGAGGGGAAAAAATTGTAAAATGCCTTTTAGAGTTACCTGAAAACATGCCCACCATCGTAATCTATGTGAATGTTAAAAATGTAAATTGTCAACATGCCATCTAGTGTAATACTGTAAAACTATAAAAAAAACTCCATGGCCAATCTAGAGACTATAAAACTATATGACACTATATACAAATGTACAAACAAAAAACTTCCTCTTCCCTTCTATTACAAAAGAAAATATGAAAATTTATGAATTTACTGTATATTTCTTAGCTCAGCTCAAATCATCCTAGATACCAGCCCACCATTGATAACATAAAAAATCTCACATTAGTTTTCCTGCCATGCATGCCACAAGATGGTATGACACTGTGTAAAATGTGGTCAGTCAAACGTTTCCCATACTTCTACTGAAGGTAATGGGAGTTGAATGTATCAAATCATGACGTAGAAGAATGATATGAAAAATATAAAATTGTGACCTCATCTCATTGTATTTCTGAAACATGATTGCATTTACCAAATCGAAAGCACTGGCAGCACTCATAGAAAACAACCATCTACTTAATGAGTGCTTGAAAAATACATAGAATTACAGATTTTTAAGCTGTCCTTGAAGAAACTATATATAGCTTTTTAAGTTGAGCTGTGAAGAACTAACATCTGTTCAAAGCTGGTAATTAGTGATTATGACTGCCATGTATTCATCAGTTTCTGGCAGTGGTCTGCTTATGAAATACAAAAAGATAAATAAAAAAAATAAAAGCTTAAGCCCAAAGGAAGAGGTACCAATATTTGTAAATTACTCTAAATCTGTCTTATGCACTGCTATACTTGCTAATATCTTGAATGTATAGTCAATCCTAAGGTTGTTGTATGTCTAGAGGTCATCTATTGTAAGGGCTTGTACAGGAAAAACAAAATGGGTGCAAAACAGCAGTTTGGCAACAACATTCTACTCACACTTTTATTTTATATGTATCTGTGATTCAAACTGATAAACGAAAAAATATCTTTTTTGTGAAGTATCCCTTAGCAATGAAATTAGGCCCTTTTCTACATTTTAGCTGTCCTTGCCTCATGTATGTCTTATTTTATCTCATGTCGTCTGCTAGACTTCCACTATCTTTCATTACCTATACTGTTTTTCACAAGTAAAGGTTTGCTGCCAATTGTGTTTCAATGGTCAGTATTGTACAAATAAAAGTGATATGCATGTCTGACACATGCCCCAGTTGGCCTAAATGGCAAGGGGGTTTCCCTCTAAATTATCAACATATCACTACAGACTTGTTTTGAGGAATCCTGTGTGATTTTACTGTAGGTCTAACCAAAGGAATGCCAGAACTTACCAATCTTTTACACGAAAAAGTTTCAAAGGATCAAAACAAAGGAATGTGTGCCTGCCCGTGTTCTTGACTAGCAGGTTGCCTCTCCCACATGGTTGCCAAAATCGCTGGAAAGTCTCTTTGTCTCGTCGTCATCATCATCCTCTACATCTTCCCTGTTGTCCTCCTCGTCGGCGGTATCGTTCACAAGCGACTGCGTGTTCTTGTCGAAGGAGTTGAACTCCAGCCGACTTCGGTCGCCCACCTCAAGGTCCCCCACGTCGTTGTCCTCGATCACGTCCCCCAAGTGGAAGCTGTCCTCTGTCCTCCTGTACTTCACTGTCGTGTCGCTCTCCCGATGTTTTCTCCATCTCAGGAAGAAGAACGCGGCCAGCCCAGCCAGAACCAACACCACGACTAGGGGCACCACTATCTGTGCTACTCTGACAATATGGTGTATTGTAGATAGGCAGGGGAGAGTCGTAAGGTCAATCTCGTTTGACGTGTTCCCCTTTAGTTCTGCGGGGGAGGCACATGTGATGGGAAACTGTTGGTTCTCTTTTAGCCAAGTAGCCAGGGGCACGATGTTGCAGTCACAAGCCCAGGGGTTGTTGGACAGCCCCAGCTGTTTTAGTGTGGACTCCAAGGGGGAGAGTAAGTCCTTCGGCAAAGTGGTTAATCTGTTGGACTGCAGGTGTAGCTTGTGTAATGTTTTACAGCTATCGAATGATTTTTCTTCAATATTTTGCACCAGTCCCCCCTGTAGGTAAAGCTCTCTTAATGCATTCAGGTCCTTGAAGGTCCCTTTCCCTATTGACCCAATCTTGTTGTTTGACAAGTCCAGGATTTCCAGCTTGGACAGACCGTCGAATGCATTTTCGCTCACACTTTCCACTTGAGACTCCCTGATAACGAGCTGCGAGAGGTTCTTCATGTTTCTGAAGGCCCCGGCTGGAATGGTGGCGATGTCGTTGTTGGAGAGGTCCAGGGACACCATGCTGCGGAGGCGGGTGAAGGTGTCCGGAAGGATCTCCCTCAGCCCCGCGTCCTGCAGGTGCAGCTCCACCACCTGTGTCAGGTGGCTGAAGTCGCCCTGGGTGATGGAGTGGATGGGGTTTCCCGACAGGGTGAGGTTCTTGACAGAGGTGAACTCCCGGATGGGGGCAAAGGTGCTGAGGCTGCTGTAAGCCAGGTCCAGGACCTCCAGGCTCTTCACATTCATGAACACGTCGGTGGCCACCGATTCCAGCTCCCGCAGCCGGCTCAGCCCCAGTGTCTGCAGGGATGGCAGGTTCTGGAAGGACCGGCTTGCCATCCTGGTGATGGGGTTGCTGCCCAGGTCAATGACCTTCAGCTTCTGCAGGTCCGAGAACGTGCCCGTCTCGATGGCTGTCAGGTTCATGAAGTTCAAGTACACCTCCTCCAGGTTCTGCGCCCCAATGAGGGAGTTGGCGGGAAGTGCCGTGATGTAGTTTCCCGTAAGACGAAGGACCTTCAAGTTCGGAATGATGCTGATTTGGTCAAATGGCACGCCTGTCAGTTTGCAGTACTGCAGTTCTAGAGTAGTGAGTTGGTCCAGGCCTCCAAAGGCATGAAAGTCTAGTTGTAATGCCCCAGAAATCCGCTGGTCACTGATGTAGAGGTTCTGGACCGTCTTCAGAAACTGAAAAGGTCCACGACCAAGCCTAGCTAATCTATTGTGGTCTAGATGGAGGGTGATCAATGAGTTTAGGTCAAAGAAAGCTTGCTCGGGTACTTCTTCCAAGAGGTTTCCCTGCAGTTCCAGAACCTCCAACAGCTCCAGCTTGTTGAATGCATGAAAGTGGACAGCCCCAATGTTGTTGTAACCTAGACGTAGATGGGTAAGGTTGCCATTGCCCGCAAAGCCGTCTTGCTGAAGAGCAGTGATGGAGTTGTCATTCAAGAACAGCTCTTTCAGGTTGATCAGCGGTCGAAGGGCGTCAGATGGCACGCTGTCTAACTTGTTGTTAGAGAGAACGAGGCTTTGTAGCCTTACTGTCCCTGAAAGTGTGAGAAATGTAGGCTATTAGTTAATATTGTAAATAATAATAATGATTACAATAGGTGCTTACTTGAGGCAAATGTCAAGATTCACTTGGCTTTTTCATTTTCCAGTTAAGTGTAGTTTCAATATTACACTGGTTCATGCTTTAAACTGTGCATGTGCAGTATTATGGATAATAATCAAAATTGAAGACTCCTGAGACATCAGCAAAACATGTCTGGCCATGTATTAGCATGGTTTAATATGAAGTAGGTAGCAAATTGTTCTACAGATTGTTTCCTGTGGAAACCAATGCAAGGTCATGCCAAACCTGGGCAATCTTTTTTAACATAGTATTATTACATAGACCAACCACTGGTTGTTGATGTTAGGCTCCCAAAGGAAAACCTTAGCCTGGGTGCCATCCTCCATAGTTTCTGCCCACTCCCTAATGTCGCTGGGCACCACGTTAGGGAGCGGGCAGAAACTACGGAGGATGGCACCCAGGCTAGGAAAACCTGGCAAGTGCCATGATAGACAAGGTGGGCTGGAGGAAGAGAGTCCTGGACTGGGCAAGCCTGATATGATGATGTTCTACAGGTTAAGGGGTAACATATGTACAACAATGATTATCGTAGATGTGGTCGCCCTTCTCTAATTCTGAAGAAGGTGATTGAAGAGGACACTGGTCTAGGGGGTGATTAACTGTCCCGGGTCACGTGAGACAGGAACTAATTGTGGAGACATCGGCATCACCTTGACAAGGATGACCTGAACACAACATGTACATGTACTGTGTTTAAATAAATATTTACCTGTAAAAGTGTTGCTGTCAATGCTGCTGATCTGGTTTGACTTCAGGATGAGCTCCTCCAGTTGTGGCACCTGACTCAGCGACTGGTTCCCCAGGGACGTGATCTTGTTCTGCTGCAGGTCCAGATATGTTGTGTTTGTGGGCAGGCCAGACGGGACTGCCGTCAGGTCTTTCCCTGTACAGTACACGTTGTAGGTGTTTGTCTTGGTCTGGTAACAGTGGCAGCTCCTGGGGCAGTGTGTAGAGGCAGTGGCAGCAAGAGTTGTCCACAACAGGGGGGAGAGCACGAGGAGGAGGAATCTCAGTAAGGCTGCCATCTCGTGACCTTGCAGAGATGGATAGTGATAGCTGGGCTTCAGGTCACCTGTGTACATGTAGTACAGAAAAAAAATTCCATCATAAAAACAATACGACTGCATAAAAGAAGATTGAATGTCTAGACATTATAGAACTGTTACAATATTATAGACTTCTCTATAGTCAATATAAATAAATTTTACTTTCGCTGATCTTCACTGATGTGAAGGGTTGATGTGCATCACCATACTCTGAGTCTAAGGCCTTCTTCATATTAGACACATTGATATTTTATGCCTTTCTAACAAAGAAAAGTGCAAGATCTGATTAGAATGATTATGGATGATGATATGAGTTCAATAGGTATTCTGCCAGGCACTTGTAGTTCTATGTAGTTTCTGTTGTTGACATATAAGATTATAATAATAGTGTGGTAATTTACTACAGGTACAATGCTAGTGTGCTAACTAAAGGTACACATTAAGAGATTAATCCACTATACAAGAGAGTCTATAGTCACTATGTCATTATAAGCCCCCCCTCCCCCCAACCACTGTCAAACTCATGATTTTCTTCTAACAATGTGAGAAATTGCATTTTTAAGGCTTGAAAATCCAAAAGTTCTCCTCAGACCCCCTATATAGCACTGTGGTAATCTCCCCCCAGGTCCGATCATGAACCTGGGCTGACATTGAAAAAAAAAATTGAGCTGGCTCCTCAGCCATGAAACATACTGGTATACATGTAGTCTTATCAACATTTGCCCTCCAGCAGTTTCTCTTGTCTCTGAGGCCCTAACCAGTCTGGCAACTTGCTGTGCACTTTCCCCTTTGACCTTTCCAGTCAATTTCACCTATTCAAGCTGGCAGATAAGGATAAGGACCACATATTCACTGAATTTGAAAGATTTTTAAATACAGCAAGGTACATATAGTACACAGGCACAATCTGTCTGACAGATTGATACCAGTAGCTGAATTTTTGCCTTGTATATAAATGCATCACTCAGAAATTCAAAAATTGTTTCAAGTTTCTTCTTCCTCAAAATGCCAGCAATCTGTAGGCCTTAAAAATGGTGTCACCTACATGTACAAGTGATATCAAGTGTGTGAGGCACTGAGTGGAAATGAGTGTTGAACTTGTCTTAAACAAATTGAATACAAGTACATCTTGCTTCTATAAAGAAAATGGCACAAAAAACTTTCAATGGTATTCACTTAAGTTTCCCAGACATTGTAACGATGTAACACTGGTATGAACATTCAATCATGACATGAATATACATTTCCCTTTTAAATCAAGTCTTAGTGGTAACTGGACAACTTAAGCCTTCCCAAAGCTGAATGCAGGAAATTGTGTTAAAGCAGCTTGAAGTTAGTGATTTAATAATGCAGATTTCAACTGAAAGAGTTCAGAAATGCATATCACAGCAAATCTATGGGTTTTTGGTCTCTATTATGCATGCTGTTGGGGGAACCTGAGTCAAACAGAATGCACGTCCTTCATTGAATTCTGTTTCAAAAGCCAAAAAGGCACCCATATTTACACAGTATTAGACAGTTGTTAGTCAATCAAACACACAATGGACTTACAATGTGAACAAGGCAATTCAATCTACCAGCCTTACAAAAATTGTGTCAATGGGGTACTAGGGACATGTCGCTACTGTAAGATACCGGGACTATATATAGGGAGAAACTGTCATGTACCAAGGAACCAAATAAGCATCTATCCCTCTCTTACAGGTAGTCTAGGCAAAATGGTGGTCCTACCTTTGTCATACCCCAGGCACACCTTCCTTCTAACACCCCCAATGGTATAATCCTGTCATGTGATGTGGATCATGTTACCAGTTCAGCCTGTGTTATGGTGGAAAATCCCATTCAATAATGGGAGGCGGAAAATTCCATTTTCTACCTGTGTTCTTGCCTAGACAATATTCCCTACATAATGTCCTGAAATCAAATCTAAATATACTATGAATTTCCACTGTAAAATTCTTATTGGTATACCGATATAGCTGTATTAAAAACAGCTATCATAACTGCTAATTCTTGTAATATCTGCTATCATGTAAGTCCTGAATATAGATCTATTTAAACTTTCAACAGCAAAAATGCCACCTAATCCTGTATCCAATGGAGAGTTTGCAGCCAAATGACTATATATTATACTTCATTATGCTGAAGGAAGGGAAACCTCAGATAAAAAAATTAATGCCATATTTGCTCGTTTCCTACCTTAGGGCACAGCTAGCTGAAATCCACCTGGGCTGAACTACATGGTAAAATTTGCTGTTTTGAAAATAAATATACTCACACATCAACTGTTCTAATTTCATTCCATAAATGTGTGACTGCCACGTGATGTCATACGTCGGCACAGACGTAACCATGCCGTCTGTAAGTTTGGCAAGGTCGACCTGTACGTCACGAATCCAACCTAGCCCGACCAACCAACCCACCCACGCCCTGTCTCCATGCAAATGTAGTAAAACTGCCTCCCTGCCTATAAATAATCCTTTTCTGTTTATCGTTAAGTACTGGGACATGTGTTTCCAGATTCAACATTTTGTTATAACCAGCTATGGCTGTAATCCTAACACTCCCTGCTCCAATATAGCTTATGGTGAAATATGATATTGTATTATCTTATCACATCAATGGGAAATGTATTAGTAAGATAAACATGGACTCACCCACCTCACAGTGCTACTGTGTAAGCGGCACCTCCCTCACAATGAGAGACACTTAAAAAATCTAGCCTGGAGCGACTAATCACAAAATTTGGAGTGAGGCAATTAGACAAGCAGTAGAAAATGGCTCATTAGAATGGCCTTCTGTAACACGTGGTGCTGCGATCAATAGTCAGGAGGGGGACGTGACGAGGATTGGGCAATAGGAAGTCTGCCTGGATGATTCAGACTGTGTTCATGGCAAGGATAAGTCAGTATCCTGGTATTAGTCAAACATGCAATGTCGTGTGTTTCCTCTCATAATGTTTCATTGACGCAACAAGAAGTACAATCATTATGACTTCCATATGGTCAATTGCAAACAACATATTAGAAATATAAGATACAGAAGTCTACTTACTAATCAGTAAGGGCTAAAATAAGTAGTGTATATTACAGTCTGGTGAGGCTAAATGTGGGTTTGTTATGTTTTCCAATTACAAATCCGGCCTTTGATGAATATTTTACTCCTTTGTGTAACTATGGGTAGCTCACAAAATTACAGTCACTGTGTTCTTCTCCAGTAAGCAATTTAGGGCTTGGTAAAATTTCACACTCAGAAATCAACAAGCGATGGAAAAATTTAATAAGTAAACGTAACAATGTGCAATATGTTCAAGCAAGGCAGTTGGAAATTTTCCATGTACATCTGGTGATCATGTATAGTGCTAATCACATTAGGGATGCCTGTTCTCCAGCTTTTTGCCCCACATGCGTATTATGTAAATTTATCACATTTGGAGTCAGGTTGCATGTATCTGGCTTCAATTGGACATGCCACCTGCATATCACCCAGCACCCAACATTTGTGGGGAGGGGCAAACAAGAGATAGAAATGTGTACCCTGGAGTAGTCTTCATTCTGGAAAATATTGGAATGTGTTTTTCTCTTTCTCTTAAGACTCCGGACCTCAATGGAAAATTAATCTATTCTATTTTGTGGACACTAAGAAGATAGAATTTCAAATTAAAAGGAGAAAATATGTCACTGGCATTCCAAAATAAAAACATATACAGTTAAGTTCCTAGTGAATTCTTTCATCAGTGACAACTTTGGAAGGATAAGGATACTAACCTTCAAATTTTATTATAAAGATACAGTTAAACAACTGTAAAAATGACATTGTTACGGTTCTTTGAAACATTCATGAGTTTATATTGTGACTGTACACTATTAGCAGTAAACCCAGTTTGACTTGTACCTGTCAAATGGATGTGTTACAGGTGTTTACATTTTGTGTTATCGTGTACAGAATGTTAATTGAGAATTGAGTCCTAAAGGTGTCACACATCAACCAAGCCACAAACCAAGACTCGGCAAAGGATTCTCTGTTTATTGTTTATATTAAGGGTGTGAAGAATGTATTCGAAATGTACTGAAGTTGACTTACCTGTTACCTTGATGTGGGGAGGTGCTTATAACCTTCACTCAGACTGTCAGGTGTACGATTCGTTTCCATGAACCAAGATGTCACTCCTTTATAACTTCCTGCATATGCTTCCGCTTCTAAGAACACAGGATAGTAGGGACTAGGTCCTTAGGGTGTCTCCCATTGTGACTGCATGTCAAGAGAAGAATGTGCTCTGGCAAGGAGCCATGCTCTTACATTCGGGTGACTTCAAGATTTCATATCTCTCTGAACCCTCATGACTTACTTAAGATTCTTTGACCCTGCAGGCAAGTTGTCTTGGTAGACAAAAGGTCAATGAGAGAAGTCAGGTAGCTTCTGTGTCCTGTAGGGAGGGTTTGCAATTGTGTGTAGGCAGGGTGCCAGGCAATGTCAGGTAGCTTGACTACTCAGTACAGATGTGCATCTTAGGGACAAACCATTTTACTCATGTGGGGAGTTTCTCCTTCAATTCAAGTAAAGTCATACCTCAGCGTATACTTTTTTGTGTATCAAGTAGAAATAGACTTAAGATAAGAACAAGCTACACAAGGGATGTTCCTTTACAAAATGAAATATATTGAAAATGTTTGTAGATGTAATGTGTATTCCCCTGGGTATGTGATGGACAGACTTTAAACCACAGTAGCTGTACACCTGAGTGGTTGTGAATGGAGGGAGGGGCACTGTAAACACTGTTGAACCGTACTGAGTATGTGGACACAGTACCGAGGTGCCCATTGGCTGCTGCATGCTGTATGGGTGACAGAGAGGCAGCCTGGCCATACTAACATGTACTTCAGGCAGAACGAGAAATGGCTGCTAGGCTATTCATAATACTTATCTGTCAAGTCTGCTCATTTCTAGCCTAGATGCTAGGTAACAAAGGATGGCCTTTGTAAGTTCAAGGATGTTCTAGTTAAATTGTTGGAAAACGAGAGGCCAAAAGTTTATCATGAGTACAAATATACAGTGCAATCCTACTTAGTTTATACAACATAATAAAGTGCTCAATACTAGCATTGTTCCTGTTACCAGCAGGCTTAAATCCAGGGTGCATAATTATATACTTTTCTACACCCAAAGTTGGAGCTATGCACCGATCCATAATTTTTGAGATATTTTAAGATATTTGTTTAGGGGTACATGTACATAGGTAACAGTATTGTACACTTTTATACAGCATATTCTTTATGTCAGAAAAAGTGCAGGAAAAAAGTAATGTGTGTTCTTACTATCAAGTATAATCAAAATTTTAAGCTTGCAATAGAATTTTGGATTTAAGTTCTGAAGAGAGGCAGTAAGGTTGGTAGTATAGTTATCCTGACATTCTACTTAATGCTATTTTAATGACACAAAATGTTTTCTGTGCAGATTTGCACCTGAATTTTTATTTTAGGTACACTAGCATATCTATTCTCAGAAAGGAATTTTCTGCCACACATATGATCTAACCATGGTGTGTTGTTTCTCCATATGATTGCGCCTGTCTGTGATGTCCTGTCTGACCACATGTCCTGCTGACTGATGCTGGTCACTGGTTCTCCCTGGTGTGTCACCATCATGCCATCAACAGGTATGTCCAATATTCTTGAAGATATATCTTTCCAAGGTTGCTGAGTGCAGCTTTAAAAGTTGCTACCGTTATTCTCAAAATCAATCATATTGTCAATTACTTTTAAGACACCTTTAAGACATCCAATATTCGTTTAGACATCCAATATTCTTTTAGACATTCTATATTATTTAAGACATTTCATAACTTGGCAAGCAGTGTGTAGCTATAACAGTTGCTAGTTAATTACTCTCAAATCAATCATAAAGTTGCCCAATATACTGTGTATCAATGGCCAAATGTGTGCAAGTTTGACTGACTGTAGTTTAGATGAAAAGGTATTAGAATTTTGCAGAGACGTCCTCGCCATTCAAGATGTAATTTCCTTGCAGCTGTCCTCTTCCAAGTCTTCCTCGCTCCTCACAAACTGAACCCTTGTTTGGCTTTGCCAGAGAAGGTTTTTCTGCCTGCGCTTCCACACCAGTACAAAAGCAATTAATCCAAATATCACAAACAGTACAAGTACCACCACACCTGTGATTACATATACGTTGTTGTGAAGGGGGGCTACAAGGGAAGTGCTTCTATGGGGAGGACAGGGGAGGTCTTCTACAGAGGTCTCATCAGACTTAAGCCCAGTCAGTTCAGGGGGATACTGGCAGGTGATCTGGACCTGTCCGCTGTTTGACAGCCAGCGGAGGAGCTCTCGGTTCCAACAGGTGCAGTCCCAGGGGTTGTGTGCCAGGAACAGGTGCTGCAGAGTTGGGGAGCGTGGAACAGCTTGCAGGATGTGCAAACTGTTATTGGTAAGATCCAGCACACGAAGAGCAGGAAGGTTATGAAATGCTCCAGCCTCTACTGTCTGTATCTGATTCCTGCTCAGGTTCAGTGTCTGTAGCTGGTTCAGTCCTGCAAAAGTTTTGTTATTGATGCTGGAAATCATGTTTCCTGACAGGCCAAGTTTCTGAAGGCTGGACAGGCTAGAAAAGGCATCCTCCACTATGGTATCAATCTGTGCGTCGTTCAGTTGTAACACAGTCAGGTTCTTCAAGTTTGGGAACAACTTGTTCCTTATTGGTCCAAGGAGGTTCTTTGAAAGGTCAAGATGCTGCAGTGCTCTTAAAGTGCTAAGAAAACCCACAGATTCAAGTGACAGTTGGGTATTACAGAGAGTAAGACTTTCCAGTCCCCTCAGTGATGTCAGGTGACTTGATGTGATTTCCCTTATAGGGGTATTAGAGAGGTCTATATCTTTAAGGCTTGTTATTCTTGAAAAAGGTGCTAAGGTGGCCATGCTTATTCCTCGCAACTGTAATGTTTCTAAGGAGTTGAGATTGTGGAAAAGATCTGCACTGAATGTAATTTGGCTCAGACCATTTAGAATAAGTTTCTTCAAGGCTGGTAGGTTTTTGAATGTTTGGGGATCCATCCTCTGCATAGGGTTGTTGCTGAGGTTGATGAGTTCCAAGTGTTGGAAGTTGGCAAACGTGGCGCTGTGGAGGTAGTGGACCTGCATGTTGTGAAGATGCAGTTCACGTATGTTCAGGTTTCTTTCAAACATGTTCAGGGGGATGTTGGTGAGTGGGTTGTTATGGAGGTACAAGTTCTGCAGACGGTACAGAGGCAGGAGTGAGACTGTGGGGAAGTAGTCTAACCCGGCATCATGTAGGTCTAAGGTGGTTAGATACCGCAGGTCCTGGAATGCTCCAGAGTTTACTGTAGCAATTTTCTGCTCCCCCAGGTGCAGTTCTCTAAGTGAAGGGACAGGGGAGAAGGCTGCATCTTTGATCTCAGTGATATGATTACCTTCCAGGTGTAGCACCTGTAATTTTGGTGTGCCATGTAATACCTCTTTGGGGACATCTGTAAGGAAGTTGTTTTCCAAAAATAGCATGGTCAGGTTATCAAGACCATAGAAAACATTCTTCTGTGGAAGGGAAATATTGTTGTTGGCAAGATTGAGGACTGCAAGCTTCTGACTGTAGGCAAAAGTGCCGTGTTGGACTATTGAGATGCTGTTTCGATCCATGGCGATCTCTTCCAGCTGTTCTAGTAGATGAACCTTTGGAATTTCTGCCAGTTTGTTGTCTGAAAGAATCAGCTCCTTCAGAGTCAATGCTGGGTCAAACGCTCGTTCTTCAATCCGAGAGATCTTGTTAGAGGCAAGGTTAATTGTTTGGATCTGTGAAAAACATTTTATAAATAACTTACTATGATTACAAAGAGAATGGTATTTAGTGATTCTTGTACATCTGGAGTTTGGGGTCTGGAACTCCTTTTTTTTCATTTTTTACTTTTTATTTTCATTTTCAACCTACAACACTATTTGGGCATGCATTACCTATTAACAGAATAAGACCTTGAAGAAATAATTTACAATTGTCATTGCTACATTCTATTGCATTGTATGTTACTTTATATAACCATTTTAACAATATGAGACAGTGACTATAGCTAGAAATACAGCATATTCTGTATTTACAAAAAGATATACATTGTCAAGTTATTTCATCAATGAACATGTCATTTGGATGATTCAATTTTGTTCATTGTGGGATAGACTAAAAATCGTTCTACAAATACACATGTCGCAAATTTAGACAAATTTACAATCCTTATGTTACCTTGAACAGACCAACAAAAGCATCCCGGTCTATCCTGTCGATAATGTTCCCATGTAGATCCAGATACGTGGTGTCTTGTGGAATGTTGTCAGGCACCCTCTCCAGTCCTCTGTTGTCACAGAACACCTGCAGACTAGCTCTGGCAGGGTAGCAGGTGCATTGTGGAGGGCAGGGGTTGACTGGGGGTGGGTACAGGGTAACTAGCAGGAGGATGATGGGAGTAATTAGCCCAGCAGAAACCATGGTGTGAAAGGAATCTCTTGATATCTTGGTAACAAAGCCTGCGAAGTTGTATGGAAAGAAAATAACAAATAACAGGAAAATGTCACATGCAAGGCTCAATGTACATGAATAAAACCATAATATACTAGTATTACCTGTCAGAATTCTGTCATTGACTACATTTGTTGACATCTCAAATCCAGGTTTATACAATATATACATTGTGATAAAACATTAAAAAATTCCCACATAGATTAGCCTGGTTCCCAATCCTATTTCAGCTATTTGTGGAGAGGACAAAAGAGACTCAGCAGCTAAAATAGGTTTGGGAACCAGGCTATTCTGGAGGTTGGTTTTGTTTGTGTAAAGTTGTACGAATGAAAGGAGGAGCTACATAGAAATATAAAACAAAAAAACCTCTGACAGCACTATTACAATCAGAATTATTGGTGCGAGAAATAGCCACATTTCGAGATATGTTGGTTAAAGTCTTTTTCATTATGTTATATGGTGTGATATAGAAGTAATTGTAAGGCTATTATCGTAAGTGCTGGAGTATTGTATTTAGATACTACTTCACTTCTAATGTAACCAGTTCTCTGATGGGATTTGCTTGCTTATTGCATCACTGATTACTCTACACACCTGGCAATGGTGAAAGTGAAAGATTCAGTTTGTCCCCTTTTTATACTGTACTGTGAATGACATATTAATTTAATTATTGTATCCTTACCTTTGCTTTGAGGTATGGGCCACACAGTCAGATCCTGGTTCAAAGGACAGTTCTAGTACGGGTGACAGAGTGTAAGATCCTGGTAGTGAATGAATGGATTGGTTGAACTTTAATATATTAACAGTCTGTGGAAAAGCACAGCTCGCTTCTTTGTTTCCTCCAACAGGTTGCCAGGCTGTGATTGGCTGTTGCCATGCGGAGATGGCAGCTTATCCTTTCATCCGATTGGCTCATTCTTCAGTATGTGATTTTATCTCTTTGCAGGGATTGATTTTTTTCTGTCCTGTGTATTGAACTGTTTGATAATCCTGTAACTCACTGTTTATAGGTCCCTGTGTGTTGTTCTTGCCTTTGAAAATCTTGCCCAAGCAATGCCTCGTGTTATGGACCCCATTAAATGCTCATATTTATGTAGTTGGGTTCCTTCATATAGCAAGGTTTTGAACTCGTAATTTAATGACAGCTTTTTAGCGTAATGACAGCTGCCTTGAATGTGTCGGCTGTGGCCTCTAGCAGATTACACATGTAATGCAGATGATAACATTCATCACACTAAAGTGCCATCTAGCAGGTATGTTTCATATTGCAGTTTGGCATCTGTATTCAGGTCGAGTAAGGGGTTAGGGTTAGATGTGACAAATAAACAATGCATGCTAACGTATTTCATTTTCTTTGCATATGATATTGCATAGGATCTACATAGCCAAGTATCAAAATACCCAAGCTTTAAAGCTCATGGGCCTATCGATCTATTGCTCCGCCGCTATTCAAAAGAGAACAGCCTGATTCTCCACATCCCATTAATTTGTTTCACAACTCATTTTGTTAATGCACAGGAGCTACTGCTATTGTCTTTCAATAGCATGGTAAATATATCACCAATGAAGCATATGCTGACTGCAAATAAGGACTGATTTGAACAGTGCAGGGGTTGAGGCACTACCACAGATGTGCTTGTATAGAAGATTTAAGATTGCAATTTTGAATGGCTTAAAATAGCTGGATACGAATAAGACAAAAATGGAAAACCTGAAGAGCATGCAATGCCAAAGGCAACTTAAAGTTTGCATAAGAATTTTCCATTTAGCGATACATCAGCTCATATCATATTATTCTTTTGTCTGCTCTGTTTGTTTTTTTCCACAAATCACAAGGTAAACTGAGGAATTACTGGTATGAAATTGATTTGTCCTCAATGAATCTTTTCTGTAGGGAGATGTATCCACATTTACACAAACTTGTATAAAAACACCCCCTCAGTGTGCATTGTTTTTCCATCTATCAATCTGTCCTGCACAGTGGTGTATGTGATGATTGTTCTGATAGCAGTGGAAGATGAATGGATCTAGAATGCTGCCTTTATTACTTGGTCGTATCCTGCAAACCACATGTTTTATTGCCAGTCTGCATTTTTGTAAGGGCTTGTGGGTAGCAGTCCCCACAGCCAACCTGAACCCTGTGACCTGATGACTCTGATTATGCAAAGTGCAAAAGGAAATACCAGTCAGGACCATAAATATGACTTCCAGCATTTATCAGTACCGGTATATGGCAACCATAATCTAAGATTTGGCCATGCAGGTTAAATTAATAATGTAAATGAATTTGTTGAAAGGTTTGTATAGTTAATTCTCAGTTCACAACCACCTGTTACAAGTCAATAATCTTTTAATAGCAACACAAACTGTATTAGATACAGAAAATTGCTGCTTTTGAATAGGGTTCCATAAATCTAGTCATTGATCTGTACTTGCCCAGAAGGCAGACTGTTTCAGAGGGTATACTTTATCATATGCCTTGGTACATTTAGATCATCTTGTATCTCTGTGTATGATGTTGTGTGTTCCTGATATGGTGAAATGAAAGCAGTGCGTTTAACCAAGAAGGTTCTGATCAAACCTCCTCTATTTAACATTCATGGCATCATGATGAGATACATTGTACATGCATGGGAGATCCAAGTAGATTCTCTCTCTGGTAAAGGTCAGGTAAGGCCACTGACCATCAGGCCTGCTGGAGGCACTGGGGAGAGACTCTGATCTGTGCTCTTCTGAATATGTGATGCTGAATTTCTTTGAGATTTCTGTACACTGAACTTCCTTCAGGTTAACCACTTTATGTAGATACTGAGTGCTCCATGATGTTTCATCCTCAGAAGTAACCCTTATACCAGGTTTATAGCTACTTCTGAATATGGAAGTGCTGGTCCAAAGCTACTAGACTAAGTGTGCCCTTAGAAGTAGTTTACTGGTATACTGAGCACTGAAAGAGCACACAGTCATTCCATCCAAGATGGAACTTCAGTTATCAGATCTCCTCTAGGCTGAAGCATATGATCTCTGGAAAAGTACTCTCCTCCGATAGCATCGGAGTCTGCCCTCCCTTGCCTTTCTCCCCTGTTGCTGCATTCGTCCTGCAGGGTCATTTGTCATCCTCCTACATTAAGGAGAGTGCAGCATTTGAGGGCCACTGCAGGGTATAGTTGAACTTCACACACATACAGTCAAACTGCCCGCTGAAGGCCACTCAGGGTGTTGACAAAGTCTGGTCTAACAGGTGGTCACTATAGACAGGATTGTGTCAATTAAAAATTTCACATTTTTACATTGATAGACGTCTGTCCAAGCCAGTGTCTTTCTGGCCAGTTTCTTTTTTTACTCCTGGTAGTCTAACAGTTTCATCAATATTCCTGAAGAGATATCATCAGCATGTGTTACACAGTTTCAGGGCATATTCTTGTCTTCTATCTTAATTGATCAACAATATGACTCCCGTTATGTATGGTTTTACAGGCACTTGTCACTTATCCCTTGGAGCTCTTAGATTGTAGAACAGTAATTTATGCCAGCTGGTGATTAAAAAATCAATACAGCCAGGAAGTCTTTGGTACAGACTAATTACTAGGCTAAAGCCTATTAGTAAGGTGTTTTCCTGGTGGAAAATGCCCCTGAGTACAGATGACTGTATATTGTTTGCACTGACAAGAGTCTTTCTTATGAATATACGTTGTGTATAAAGATATGTCCACAAAAGAAAATGGAATTGAAGAGAGAAGAGATTCAGGCCATCTGACTGGTGCCTATTGTGTCAAAGTAGCAATCCTAAGATGTTGATACCAGCCCATCTTTCTCCTTCCACTGCCTTTTACCTTCCCAGCTTAATCATATACCCTGGGTGGAGCACCTTTCCCAAGGACACAACGTCTAGCCAAGAGTGTCGGGTATCGAACCTGCAATCTCATGTCTGCTAGCCTACTAGTAGCCATTTGGCCATTCGACACCTACATGTAGTGCCATCCTCATGTTTGAGAGTTGGAGAGAAATACATTGGAAATGCAAACATGTATTCATGTGCTTAAGGTGGTACTACTAGTATTATACATTGTAGTTATAGCTAAGGCATATCTTGAAGATGAAAATGACTCTAGCATTGTTATAGTCTTGTAGGCTTATCTTTATGATCTGGAACATGACAGCAGCAGGTGAAACAGGAGACATCCATGTTGGCAAATACACCTGTTGGTCTCCAGGAGGACGGGTCAGAACACATGACCCCCAACATGACCCTTGACCTGCTGCTTTCTTAAGTTGAGGGAAAACAATAGCAGGTGCAGGTGTCATGACATCATGCTGTTTGGAAAACAAAAGAGAGAGACGTAAACTACCTTTCACTGCTAGATGCCAAGGATGCTTTTCTATTGTACTAACAACTAGAGTTCCCCGATCTCATACCTTTGCCAAATGATGTTAATCTTTATGACTGAAATTATAGATTAGATTATTCCCCCTGATTTAAGAAATAGGAACCTAATTTTCATGAATTATATCATTTTATCATAATCTCAACCAAAAGACAGCCTTAGATTAACAAACAATGCATTCTAGCATTTCGTAATAAATTATGCAAATGAGGTCCTGATTTGAATAAATTATGTCTAATGATGTTCACCTCAACTAAACTTTCAAATACCACAAGTATGAAATTCCAAGCAGTTATCATTACATAATTATAAAATTTTCTCATTAATTATGCAAATTAAGTCATTATTAACATAATCAATATCTTCTTGTGTTTCTCTCGTTGTCAATTACCAATGTCACAAGCTTCAATTGTCCTATCATGGAATGCAGCTTATTTATAGAATTTCCCCATTAATTATGCAAATTACATTCATATTTGCATAATTGTCATATAATTATATTAAACATCACGTAAGCTACCTACATACCAAAAATCACGACGATCCGTCAACCGGTTCTTGCGTTATCCCCTTTTGAATATTTTCAAGAATATATCCCTGCAGTTCCAGAGCAAGCCGCTAGGGGGCCCAAACTCACATCACTTTTTCCCCAGCACAAGAGCTACCTACCACCCAAATTTCATCACCATAGCATGTCTAGATCATGAGATATCAAAACCGGAAGTTCAGCTGCAGTACCATAACAAGCCGCTAGGGGGCCCAAAATCTAATCATTTTGAGGTCTCATCAAGACCTACCCACCTACCAAGTATCAAGACAATCCATCTAGGCCTTCTCAAGTTATCGTGTTGACAGACAGACACACACACACATACACGAACGCCCCTGAAAACATAACCTTCTTGGCGAAGGTAACAAAGTCATACCCCTTACTGTACATTTGCTATTTTTCTCTGGAACTAAATGTAGTACTGTGGAATTCGAGATGTTTTTAATGATAATGTTTGATCTCATTTGCAAAACAATGACTGAACCATATTCACCAATGTTAACACACCAGTTAAAGAAGGTAAAATCTACAATGTAAGCAGCCTTTGCAAATGACAAACAACTGATTTTTCTCACAATTTTTAATCCCACACTTTTTTTACAAGTATCAGAAGAATGGCAACGGTCATTAAATATTACAGTTGAAAACTGGTGGAAAACAGTAGGCAACACATGGTCTTCACTTCCTACATAGCCTATGTTGTTCTATATATATTTATACATATCATCTCAATCATAGAATACTTTGTTACAAAGAAGATACTGCGTTTCAAACACAGTGTCGTTGTTCTGGTCTTCATTGGGCTCGTTGCTCAAATTTAAAGTTCACTAGAATTTCTTTAAGGTACGATGGTTTAACATTTAAACACGCTCAATATCAACACTCTAACTGGTAGCAACAGTAAAATCATCATCATGGTAAAAAACCTGGATGCCAGTCTTAACAAATATCCCTCAGAAAACTCCTCCTTCCCAAGGCCACACTAGCACAATTACGGAATGTACTTGTTTGACAAGCAGTAGCCACTTTACTCTGGCTGTGGTTAGAAGGATGGAAGCTGGAAAGATAGATGGATATAAAAATGGATTGATCATTGGTTGGTGGAATAGTTGGTTGACTGGTTCTTGTTGTGAAATTGAAACATTCTAGACCATATGACACATGCATGACTTAGTTGCTCTCATGCCATGCACCATAATTGTAGAAGTACAATTTAAGTCACAAGAAGGATCTGGTTTGATATATCAAAGAATTCAGACTACTTATCACATTGTCAGATAAGAAAATCAACCATTCATAATACTTTTCTATCAACCATTCATACTAACTTTGAGTTAGTACAATCAAATTTGGATACACAGGCTGTACTTAAATTACCAGGTGTGGCCAAACTCTCGAGGTCTATGAGGCATTTTCTGAGGGACATCTGGGCATCCAGTTCTGTCCACTGGAACAGTATTTACAGCAACATTCTTCATCCCAAGTGGAGACGGCATGTCACATGCCAAACTACGATTTCTTACAAGGGTGTGGAATGGTTGTTCAAACTGGTAACAAATGCTAAGAGACAAGCCTGTGTCAACTCACTCCAAAGCTTCACTATTTGATAGATTTATTACTTGCTACATGGATGGATAGCATCATTACTTGTGACTAGAAGTAACATTTTGATCACACTGCGTCACTGAAAGCACCAAATTATGATTTCTTCCAATTGAAATCATCACAATCTGTAGCAAAGAAATGGATATGGAATGTATTTTACAAAATCTGTATCTGCCAATAATAAATAAGACAAACATTGAGGTAACTGGTTTGATTTCAGAATACACACTGTCAGATAAAAAAGCAACCCTTTGTGATACTTTCCTGACAAACACACACACAGACATAGTCCTTAGTATCTATAAAGTAGTCTGTACATTGATGCCCCCCAACCTGTCCATACTCCCTCTGCTGGAGTACCCACTGTTCATGTTGCTCTGTAGCTGCTCATACCCTCTCCCAGCTTCCTTTGGTCTTGCTCCTTGCTGGTAGTGGCCTTGGTAATCGCCCCTCAAGTTGGAGTCCACTTTTCGGACGTCCACACGAGGCGCCTGTTTCATTCTGTTCATGTTCTGTCTTCTGGCCTGCTCTCTCACGAGATGCTGGTAGTCGGGATTGGGCCCTGCTGTTTTCAGCAGCGGTTGGTAAGCTTGTCCTTCCTGTTGCGAGCCAGGGTTTACGTTGAGGTCCTGTGCCACACCGTTTTTGGCTGGGGGGTAGTAGTTCAGGGTGGGGAAGTGAAGACCCTTAACGTCAAGTCTCTTCATCGGCATGCCATCGTCGCCCGGGACGGTGACGTCCGCATCCGTCATCGGCAGGAACGGCTCAGAGGGGGATGCAGGTTTGAGGTTCACGTAGTACGCCTCACTCTTGGGGCGTGGGCTGACTCGCTGCTTCTGTTCGGGGGGCTGCTGCTGCGTCGTCGTCCCCTCACCTTCGTCCAAGTGGACGTGCTCCGTAAACCAGATCTTACAGTCAGGACGGCCGCAGTAGTTTTGCTGGTTGTAATGAGATGGCGGCCCCTCACCGTTCAAGGCAGAGTCTTTGTCTCGTGGGGACTTACCTGATACAGTCTCCTCGTTTACGTCGATTGGCCTCGTGGTTACATGTAACTCCTCGGAAGACTTCCTCCCGGGGTGGTCCTTGTCTTTCTTCTTGTCCTTGTGCTTCCCGCCCTTGATTTTACCGTTCGCATTGACCTTTTTGACCGGACTGTCCCCAGCGTGCTTGTTGGCGATAGTCAAATCATTTCGCTGCTCGGGCGGGGTGGGAAGACGCTTTTTCCTCAAGCAGATCACAAGGACAAGGGTGAGAATCATCAGCACGGCGAAGCCGAGACACGAGCCCAGGATGACTGGCAGCATGAAGGGGAAGGTACCAGAAGAGCTATCCTTGTCCGTCCCTCCGTTGTCTGTCGGATCCACTTCACTTCCATCACACGTGAAGTTGTCAGCAGTCAGCTGGTCCCAGTATATCCCATCCAGATCGTACGGGTAGTCGCACTGGGGCATCTCCGGTGCGTCGAGGTCCTGCTTGGAGTACACCCACTCCCACAGCCAGCGGATCCGGCAGTCGCAGCTCCACGGGTTGCCCTTCAGGGAGACCGTCCGAAGCGAGGGCGTGTGGTCGAACAGCCGCTGGGATACCGTGATGAGGCCGTTGTTCATCAGCTGAAGCGTTGTCAGCCGGGACAGACCCCGGAACGCCTCCGGGTCGATCTGGGTGATGTCGTTCGAGTCCAGGTAGAGGTGCTGCAGGTTGTTCAGGTTCCGGAAGTCGGACGCCTCGATCTTTTTGATTCGGTTGTTGCCCAGGTTCAGGTAGGTTGTGGCAGCCGGTATTCCCGTAGGGACCTTTGTCAGGCCCTTTTCGTTGCAGATGACGGTGACTTCGTCACAGGTGCAGCCGTTAGGGCAGGCAGACACATCTTCAGCTGCAGCCACCAGCAACAGCAGGGTGATCCACAGGTAACCCATGGTGACCTCCTCTCTTCTTCCAAATGTCAGGCAGCTTCTGTAGAACGCCTCGGAGACCTGCAAGGACAAATAAGGCAATGTTGAGAATTGATATTTTACACATCACTACAGATGGTAGATGCTGTCAAAGTGCCAAAGGCAAGGAAATGAGTGTAGCCTGTGTAGCTAGTTCAACCAAGGAGGTTATAGGCAGATATAACCTCCTCGGTTCAACTTGCCTTGCAATATGGGAATGACAAATGGGTTGGTAACCAGCCACACTCCTCCCTCCTGTTTATAGTGTGTGACCAACATACAAATTAGGTATAGGCTGTTTCAGGTGCTTTTGTGTGTGGAGGACACTACATATAAACTGGGCCGTGAGCAACAGACTTTTATCATGCAGACCTTAGAATAATCATGTCTTGTCCGGCCAGCAGCTGCTGCATTCTGGTATTCATAAATTCCACTACACTGTCTCCCCAGGTGACACCAAGACTGTTCCATTATCTATAGAGGGAAGGACGAATAGGATTATGTAGATTGCTAGGATCTGTGAGTTGTATACCAATCACTAGAGTCAGAACGGATCGGTCTCCTGTGGATTTGTATGAATGTGGAACAAGACTCTGTAATCAGGTCACTGTGTCCTACAGGAATGGATGGAGGAATTTATTAGGATTTTGATTACAGAATATTGGTGGGGACTCCTCTGATCCTTTTTATTGAGAAATGTTGTAAAGTCATGTAATGACTTCTGTGTATGCAGGGCCTGTTCATGTTTCAGCTGTAATTTAACCAGGTTCAAAGTGTCACTTATCTCGCTATGAACATGCAGAGTTGTACAGAATCATCTGCATATTAAAACAGGATATTCCTGAAATTGTTATGATCAGTCTTTGAGCACTAAGGAAAAATTAGTACATGTAATATAGTTGCAGATGGCCCATCCACACAACTAAAATAGTCATAAGAATCTAGTTCATAATTTTTCAACTATCCCATGAAATGTAACATAACCAGCCAACATTTACATGAAAATGGGGAAATAATTGAAAAATCCTTATCACTGAGTGAGGATAATAATTAACCAAGAGGTGTGCACTTTTAACTTATTACAAAATTGCAGCTTTTATATCAGCTTACAATTCTTCAGCTTCTATCAGGATAATGAATGCAGTGTTCAACTCAATTAACAGTTACTATACATAGAATCCATTTGAAATAAGGTTTGAGGGAAATGTCAGAATTTTCCAAACCAGTGGACCCCAAGAAAATTGAGGTTGGCCAGGAAGTCACTGCAATTGCCACACAATCAAACCACAGGGCTATCAAGATGTGGATCTGTAGTCTAGATGGCTGAGCCTGCAGCTAGTTTAGGCGGTGACTGGAATGTGTAAACTATATTGGTTTACCTTGAACAATGATGAAAACACATTAATCATAAGATGTAATGCGCCAGCTGGGTTTATCTGTTTACAGCGGCAGTGGAGAAGAACAACGTCATTAATGTTGAGGAAAGGAAATACAGCAGGATTGTAATCTTTTGAGCAAACATTTTAAAAATCTGAAGACTGATGATATTATAATTGAATGCTGTAAGCAGATTATGACATAGTAATCTATGGTTACCGTATCAATATGGGAAAAAATAGGACCAAGTCCTGGTATATTTCATGCCACAATGTGCAATTGGTTGTCCCATTTCATAACCAGAGAGTGTGTCCAACCAAGGTCATACAGTCTGATAACATACCCCTTCTGTCTGCATAGTTTATGAGATGGATACAGCTTGCTGAATATTGCCTATGTAAACATTAAGGTCTCCATGTAATGCAATTTACATTGCTTAATATTCATGACAACCTTGACAATATTGTATATGTATTTCTATCCTTCAAGATCTACAATGTAGAATATCATAATAATTATACATAGCTTTTCTACGTGCATAAATTCGCACTGTGCCAGATAGTTGCTCTACCTTAATTATAAGATATTATAGATTGCAAGATTCTTGAAGCAGATGATGATGCCATTGATACCGTGTGATGGTTGAGGGATACAATCAGTTACGGGCCCGGCAGATACTTTGAATTCGTTAATGAGATGGGTCGTTTCTCCACACAACCAAGCTGCCTAATTGAGCAATGGGTTCGTAGCAAGCCTCAGCTTGAAGCACATCTCATTGCCAAACATCCTGCTGGTGAGAGGTTGTTGCAATTGCAGCCAATCTTCCACAGAGCTTGGTCTGGAGCTTGCTATAGGCTGGGAGGCATGGAGGCGAATACCAATGAGACGGCAATTTGCCAAGAGCCTGGGGTAGACCCTTACAAGACAAGTGCTTTCTGGTGATGAATTTCACTGTACTTCTAATAAATGCCTGAAGTTTCAAGACATTGCCTCACAGAACAACTGTTCCTGGAATATTATACCTATAGATATAAAAAGCTATCAATATTTCACTGAAGCAGTTGAACACTAATCAACAAAGTAACAATGTATTCCATACCCTTCAACAGGGATGTGTTCATGCAGATTGCTTCCTGAATAAATTTTTATGAGCTATATTTACCTCAGTCTATGTGTTCTAGTGCAAATAGTAGTGGTAGGAGTGGTTGAAAATTCTCATTGTATCTTTTTCATAAAATTAGCAATTTTACAGTAACTGTCATTCAATAATTTTGTATAAAGTACATGACTATATGACACAACAAATTATATGTCCCCAGAGTTGGGGTATAAAGGTTTTTGTGATTCAGGCTGCTCATTTCATTCATAAACTGGAGAATATTAGAGAACACTATACAACTTGCTTTAGCTGCAGTTACCACTGATGTGGATTTCCCTGCAGGTACTGCACGTATGAGATGGTCGGAAATAAATTACATCTTGGGGCACTTTGTTACAGGCCAGCCAATAAAATCTGATGTAGTGCGTAAAAGCTGGTAGCATGCAGGTCACATCATGTCTGTAGATTATCCGGACGGAAACATATTACACACTGAAAGCAGGGCAGTGAAACAGGAGGGGTGTAAAAGGTTTGTCATGTGATGCATTTCATCTTTCTCATATAGAGGATGTGGGTGGCTGGGAGAGTCTCATTGTCTTGGCAAAATTAATACTTTTGTCATAATATGAATTTATATTTCATCTGAAAACTAATAAAAGTGTATAGTTGAGTCTGATTATGGACAGACTGCAAAGCTCCTTAGGGCAATCAAGCTGTCTCGTATAACCATGTTGTTTTCTTATCCCAATATGCATGGCTTTGCTAAATAAACGTCTTTCATTTTACTCGAAAAGACATCGCCAACTTAAATTGGTACTGATGCCAACTTTGTTATAGAGCAATGTTTATATGGTATCAGTATATTTTTATATTTCAGTCCATACCATGGTATGGATGAAATATATTGTGTTCTCTCATGTTTCTTCTTCTCCTGCCAAACAGTCAAAGGGATTCAACTCCACCATCATTCAGCCAAATGACTTGAAATTTGGCATGGAGGTAGAGTGGGCCAATACCCCCAGGCGTTTTTTTCATTTTTTTTATACATGCCTTTGAAGAATTTTTATGAAGGTTTTTGGGGGCATTTTTCGCCAAAAAATGGATTTTTGGATCCTGAGCCCTGATTTTACAACCAAATGATCTGAAATTCGGTATAAGGGTACCTTGAACATGTGTCTACCGAATAGCAGTCACATATTTGGCATACACTACTTCCAAATGACTCATTTGGGGGACTTTAATGGCTATTTTCAGCAAAAAAAGGGCCAAAAGTGCTGTACCCGTTCCATGTTCTATCTAAAGAATGGCCGGTTCCATCCATGGAACACGTGTTCCATTGCGGGTTACCTGAGGTCACATTGCACCTAAGTGGTGCGTAATGACACACACATTCAATTTTATGTGCCTAAGACCTTCAAAATGTATCAAATCTCATGATTGTTAGTATTTGCATACCTGTAATAAGATTAGTAAAGCTTTCGAGATTCAAAGTACTTGTTGTTGCATATTTGTTCTCATATACATGTAGCTACTATTTAATTCATTTATTTGAGAACCTTTGCCAGTTTTGCACTGGGGTAAGTTTGGAATAGTCCACTTTTGCGTGGGAGGGAGATGGACTGAAATATGCTGTATTTGCTCCCAAGCAAATGTCGGCCTTTCTAGTTTGTATTTAACTTTCAGCCTTTTGGGACCAAATTTAGGTTACCTGGTTAGGCAGGAGGTAGAAGGTTGATTGACATAAATGATATCATGGGATTTATCAAAGTTCTGAAGTCTTCTCCCATGAGCATAATACCAGCAAAAAAAACAACACTAGAAATGAACACTGGTATGGACATAACTACATGATAGTAACTACATAGCAAACTATTGGTATCTTACTACCACCTGCTGTGTTGAAAGCAGGCTATCAAACTTTTAGTAGCCCTTTATTGTATTAAATCATTGACAATATGTAGTTAATAGCCCTAATAGATACATTTGTTGAAAATACAGAGAACAGATGGACAGGCCTTGTTTTCCTCTTATGCTTGATCAAGACCTAATTGGGCATGATGATACAATAAGGATTTGGAATGTTTTTCTGATAATGATTCTGTATGCAGACGGCATCATAAAGATAATGAATGTGCCCCACTGGTAATTGGCTAAGTGGGTCTGTGTCATCAGGCCTGGGGGCATAATACCTGATACAATCCTAGTGGACAAAGATTTAAAAGATTTAGGAAATCTAGACTAACAGTTGTTCTTGATTACTTATCTAATTTCATGCTTATACATTCTATGAATTAAGTGACTTTGTGTTTGAAATAAATGAAAAAAAAGAAACATAAATGAAGAAAGAATGAACAGTGTAGCAGCTGTGAGATTCTCTAAAAACACTTAAGAAAATGTATATTAAACCCATTATGATTACCTCTTAAAGCTTATTTATGTGGTAATTAGACATTAAAATTAGGACTTTAAAATTAAAGTTCTTTTAATTCTTGAAATAATTTCATTAGACATGCAAAACAAAACACTGCAAAAGCCTCCTTAGTTTTCCCTTCTACCAAAAAATTAAGCCCCTGGAAATAAAAATGAATTTACAGTAGGTTGCTGGAGATGCACAAGGAATATTCCATCTGTAGATTGAATTAATCATTGTAATACTTCCTTCAACGAGTCCCATGGGAAATGCAGTAGGAAAACAATTGCAGATAGTGTAAGCATATCTACATGTATTTATTCTAATTTTGTTAGTTTTGCACAATTGTCAAGCCACCTTACACCCCTCAGCTGCATAGGTTTGATGCTTTCACCTCAGATCTAGAGGACCTTACTTTTCCATAAGCGTGCTTCAGTTGTGGCTCTCCTTATGCAAAGGCAGGACCTCCAGCTTTACATCCCATCCCAGAGGATCCTTGTCACAAGCATGTACTTGTTCTGTCATTTTTAGAGTCCAATTTAAATTTCGATAGCCTGTCTAATACTGGAAATAGTGTCCATACTGGATTATAAAATGAATTCTATCAATTTGACAGAAAATTGTGGAGAATAAATGTGACAATAATGACATTCCATACACCCCATAAGACAGCACAAGTCAGGTTTTGACACACTGTATTCCTTTGGAGTAGAATGAAGCCTATTTGTGCAAAATGGAGTGAAAAGTCAGGCAGGTTTGGCCATGCATGCCGGACAGACGCCACATTTATGAAGCAGTAACAGACCATTTCTCCTGTGCCCCTCAGGAACAAGT